TAGTTAAAAAAAATATAGTTCTTTTCAGCAGATCTCATGTCTGACTTTGGTGCGTTATAGATTTCATTTTATAGGTCATTAAAGTACATCTTTAGATCTGACTCCGATGATTATTGTCAGGATCGTTGAGGGGAATTTTCGGGCGCCTCCAGCAGGTACATTATTGGGGACCATTTACTGGGCTGTGACCACTGTGTGACAGTGAACAGTTCAGATGGACATATTGGTCAGTGAAATAAGCTGTGGCAGCCAGTACAAGGAGACATCTGCCATGAACTGGGGTAAAAATGACATCACAGCACAAGCTACATTAGATGAGGGCAGCCATCATGCACGGCCTGACATGGTGAATCAGGGAGGAGAAGCGAAAAGCCGACGTTTTACCCCACAACACAAATGTTACAATCATTGTACACTGCAATCAAAGACTGGCGGGGACAAGGGTCAAGCAAATGTGCAATTTTCCAATCGAAATGTTTGTCAGTGGTGAAGACTGTGCCGCTTCACTGGCGCCATCTGCTGTTATCTTCTTTTAAGACGCTTCTGTGGCACGGCTCTGAAACACAAGATACTGGAACATCAGCAAGTTCTGGCAGATTCAGGCTTCCCACATGCGCAGAAACCAGTACAGAGCTTTGCAGCCCCTCATCACAAAATAGATTCAGAAATTCAACAATGCAAGCTTGCCAGCACACAGAGCTCCCATCAAGGTCATTGTGTAGCATGTAAGCTGGGGGTCCCCTGTCACCGGCTCAAAACCCCTCCATCCCAACCAACATATCAGTGAAGGGGACAGAAAACCAGGAATACTACATGTGCCAAGTGCCTCTCGTTTAATCTGCTTGGTATGCTGGTGGCCCTCAATTCTCTGCTCTAGAATTCAGCAATCAGAAGATTATCCTTTTAAGCTCCAAGGTCATTCATGCCTATAAGTTCAGGGCAAATTTAGCAGTATTCACAAACATCAGTTAACTTGAGAATTTAATTTTCCATAAACAAAAACGGTTTTTTTATATTTTTGAGGGCATATGGTGGACATAAGGTGCACTGATTACATTTTTGTCAGTATAGAAAATTATTTATTTTTTTATATTGTAATTGTGGTTTCTAATTACAATGTTAAACAAATGAACACTGCGCTTATTTTGCGAAAGCAGTATAAAATCCATAACAAAAATGAAAATGCAGCTTACCAGTTCTTAGATGCAGTGGCTGCATTAGTTGTTTTTTGAAGCCTTTTTAAAGCCTTTAACCTGGTAATCCTGCCAGTAAGTCTTATTTTTCAACTTACTTTACCAGACCAAGCTGCCCAGGCAAAGTATAAATTAGAGTACCCATACAAAACCTTTACCATTGTCAGGGGTGCTTACAATAGTTCACTTTTATTCATTTATATCTAACCTTTATCCCAAAAGGGAAAAAAAAAAAGGAAGTTGGTGTAACTGCTTATAAAGTGTTAACTGGAGATCGGCTTCAATTTGTTAGTCAAGTCTATCTAAATCTGCTAGTCCATCTAAAAACTACACTCCCCCAAGAATGACAATGCTGCTGTCCAAAGGAGTCTGTTTTACTACTTAACATAGCATGCAGACACCCTAAGACAGAAAGGAGCTGATTTACTAAAACTGGAGGGTGCAAAAAATGGTGCAGCTGTGCATAGAAACTAATCAGCTTCCAGGTTTTACCCCTGGTTCACATATACAGTCATGGCCGAAATTGTTGGCACCCTTGATATTCTCCAGGAAATCATGTATTTCTCACGAAACGTATTGCATTAACACATGTTTTGCTATACACATGTTTATTCCCTTTGTGTGTATTGGGACAAAACAAAAAAAGGGAGGAAAGAAAGCAAATTCGACATAATGTCACACAAACCTCCAAAAATGGGCTGGACAAAAGTATTGGCACCCTTTCACAACTGCGGATAAATAAGAATGTTACAAGCATGTGATGCTCCTGTAAACTCACCTGGGGCAAGTAACAGGTGTGGGCAATATAGAAATCACACCTGAAAGCAGATAAAAAGGAGAGACGTTCACTTAACCTTTGCATTGTGTGTCTGTCTGTGCCACACTAAGCATGGACAACAGAAAGAGGAGACGAGAACTGTCTGAGGACCTGAGAACCAAAATTGTGGCAAAATATCAACAATCTCAAGGTTACAAGTCCATCTCCAGAGAACTAGATTTGCCTTTGTCCACAGTGCGCAACATTATCAAGAAGTTTGCAACCCATGGCACTGTAGCTAATCTCCCTGGTCGTGGACGGATGAGGAAAATTGATGAAAGATTGCAACGCAGAATAGTCCGGATGGTGGATAAGCAGCCCCAAACATGTTCCAAAGACATTCAAGCTGTCCTGCAGGCTCAGGGAGCATCAGTGTCAGCGCGAACTATCCGTCGACATTTAAATGAAATGAAACGCTATGGCAGGAGACCCAGGAGGACCCCACTGCTGACACAGAGACATAAAAAAGCAAGACTACAGTTTGCCAAAATGTACTTGAGTAAGCCAAAAGCCTTCTGGGAAAACGTCTTGTGGACAGATGAGACCAAGATAGAGCTTTTCGGTAAAGCACATCATTCTACTGTTTACCGAAAACGGAATGAGGCCTACAAAGAACAAAACACAGTACCTACGGTAAAATATGGTGGAGGTTCAATGATGTTTTGGGGTTGTTTTGCTGCCTCTGGCACTGGGTGCCTTGACTGTGTGCAAGGCATCATGAAATCTGAGGATTACCAAAGGATTTTGGGTCGCACTGTAGGGCCCAGTGTCAGAAAGCTGGGTTTGCGTCCAAGATCCTGGGTCTTCCAGCAGGACAATGACCCCAAACATACGTCAAAAAGCACTCAGAAATGGATGGCAAAGAAGCGCTGGAGAGTTCTGAAGTGGCCAGCAATGAGCCCAGATCTAAATCCCATTGAACACCTGTGGAGAGATCTTAAAATTGCTGTTGGGAAAAGGTGTCCTTCCAATAAGAGAGACCTGGAGCTGTTTGCAAAGGAAGAGTGGTCCAAAATTCCGGGTGAGAGGTGTCAGAAGCTTATTGATGGTTATAGGAAGCGACTGATTTCAGTTATGTTTTCCAAAGGGTGTGCAACCAAATATTAAGTTAAGGGTGCCAATACTTTTGTCCAGCCCATTTTTGGGGTTTTGTGTGACATTATGTCATATTTGCTTTTCTGCCTCTGTTTTATATTTGTTCCAATACATACAAAGGGAATAAACATGTGTATAGCAAAACATGTGTTAATGCAATACCTTTTTTGTGTGAAATACTTGATTTTCAGGAAAAATATCAAGGGTGCCAACAATTTCGGCCATGACTGTATGTGGCCATGCAGGCCGCGTTTTGCGTGGGTATGAGAGCCCATTCATTTGAATGGACTCCCATGCCCCGGGACACACAGGGAAGAAGTCCCTACACATCTTTGGAAACTGCAGCCCACACGGGAACCTCGGTTCCCAGTGCGGTTGCGATTTCCAGTGCGGGCGGCGTGCCTTTAGAATTAAGGGCACCTACCCATGGGTCCGCATTCCTCTGTGCGGATGGTGAGGCTGCATGGATTTTTGAGCGGTCTGCAGCGGCACCACCTGCTCATATGTGAACCTAGCCTAAGGCTGGCCATACATTATACAATTATCTGGAGATTTTTGGTTTAGATTTACCAAAAAACATATAATAGCAGGGCAAACCTAAACAACACTTTCAGTTGTATCCAATTAGGCAGGCCCTTGCACTACACAGTTGAAGGTAAATCTAAAGGAAATTGGGCAGAAAATTGGAAGATAATTGTATAATGTATGGCCAGCCTTACTGACAAAGCTTAATTGAACAAGCTGAAGTTAAACACCGATTGGTTACCATGCACAGCTGCACCAGATTTTACACACTTCAGTTTTAATAAATCAACCTTAAAGTGTGGATCACCAGGTTAAATACAGAAAAAAGGCCTAAAAAAGAAAAAAAAATTATTGCAATCACATCTCAGGATTGGTAAACAGCAATAAATTACGTTTTTGTTTTTGAGGTCAATATGCTTTAATGAAGCCCGCATATGATCAATACGTCATAGCCAACATAGTAATCACATGATCGGGAAGCATTTACCTGTGGGAAGCTTGAACTGTCAATGATAGCAGGGACTGAGCCAGCAGGTGTGCAAATGTTGGCCAGTGCTTCTCAAGAGGAAAACATAATAAAGTGTGTATAAACAACAACCAACTTCTCTTATTTGCGCTGTTAAAAATACCACTGAAAGTGGATTGAAAAACACCTCACCCTATGTTATTGAGAAGAAAGGGAGGTGTTCTGTAGTCCTGGCCTACCGTGTGTGAAAGGTAGTGTGTTACTGGTAGGATAGCCAGGTGAAATAAAAGGCATACAGCCAAAAAAAAGAAAACTAATGCAGCCACCAGATCTAAGGACTGGGAAGCTGCAATATGACACTTTTCTTCTACGGTTTCGGATACACTACAGACTGCAGATGGAAAAACTAGACCACTGAGACACAGTTTTGTCAAATTCGTTATTTTAATATCTACCAGCAAACTAGATAAAAAGGACAAAGCAGACACTTAACTGATAAGCCAGAGATCAGAAAATGTGGATTTTACCAAAATGGAAAGGTGTGAATGAACCCCAATTCTCCAAGGGGAATTATTCTGCACAATCCCCACCCACTGTCAGTCTGTTGTCATAATCAAATGTGAATAAGCCCCAATACTTCTGGGGGATTGCTCTGTGCATGCTCCCCTTCCCCAGCTGGGATCATTAACATTACATGGAACATTACCCTAGCGGGTGTTTGTGACCCAACAAATCAGGAACAAAATTGATAATGGTTTACTAGAGAGGGGATCTAGAAATATCATACATTGATAGTAAAAAATGGTATACAAACCATGATGGGTTCTTAAGAGCAGTGATCTTTCAGCGATCCACTGTGTGCCATCCTTTTACTAGGATTTCTGTACATCAAGCACAAAAAGTTTCAAACAACACTATATAAATAAAAAAACAAACATTTGCAGTGGACATGTGAACAGGGAATATGCATGGCGACTAACCTGTATATGTTGGGGTCCAAGAGCACAGCGGTGTCACTCGGGAGTTTGGATAAGTGAACAACCTTTGTCTTCAGCTGGTGCCGTTCTGTTTCATTCACCCAGACATCCGGGAGGCTATGAGCAAGGAACAAGTCAAACATACAGCACGATCCATTACAATCTGTATGCAAGCGGCAACAAAGGATATCAAAATTGGCAAAATATAAAAAACTGTTTTGGCCAGCATGCAAATTTGCAGTCTCATTCACAATTCATGACACCCAAAGAAATAAGATACGACTTTTGTATTTACTGTAAAATCCTTCTTGGAATCTACTGAGGGACACAGGAATTCAGAGAGAGTAGGGTAATATTGATGCCAAAGGGAGGCTGGGAGACTGGCAAACAGAAATAGAATACTGTAAGCCAGTCCTTGTATAACCTCTGCTCTACGCAGCAGGCCTCAGCTTTGTAAGAAAGCAGTACTAATGGCAAGAGCAACAAACAACAGAGAAGCAGGATCCGTGTCCCTCAATGAACTCCAAAAAAAAATTTACAAGCAGAAAAATCTTGCCATCCAGGCACATTTTGACATTTCTCACATACATGTAAATTCAGCATTTAAATTACTTCTAATTCCCCCAAAATATATTTTCTGAACGTAGAGGCCCTAGAGAACACAATAGTGGTTGTTGCAATTTTTTATGTCACACGGTATTTGCGCAGCTGTCAACAATGTTTCAGGAACAAATACATTTATAAATGCATTTTATGTGCACACCAACACATCACCCAATTAAAAAGTAAATCAACCAAAAAGTAAAATATAAAAGATGTTGTGTCAAGTAAATAGATACCAAACATGTAAAGATTTAAAATTTCGCACATCCATGAAATGGCTACAAACTACCACACCTATAAAATCACCATAGGCGACACTTTAAAAGTCTTTATAGCCAGGAAGATAACTGCTATTTTGTCTTACTAGTTTCCTGTCACCTCTTTTCCAGGCAACCTATTGAACACAGAAACAGATCATCATTTCTGTCCAATTAGAAGGTAGCTGAACCAGAAGTAACAAGATCTGTGTGAAAATCATAAAACTTGCCAAGAATCACAGACCTTTTGGTAGACATACCAGTGCACATAAAAGTATTTCAGCTAAGAAGTGGCTAGTTACCTTGCCTATGTGTCAATGCAATGTTTCCTGTAGTCTTACAGATTATAAACTAGGCTTTCAGTTACACCAAATACTCCCCAAAAACCTATGCAGCAGTTATAACAGACACCAGCATCAATGTTGTACCACAAAAAACACAGCCTCCGATATCCTGTATTTTGTGAATGGACAATTGTGGACAAGGCAACACACTGCTGCTGGTGTCTACCATACCTGCAGTGCTGGTATTGGTGGGGAAGGGGCGGGAATGTGGTGGTAGCAGTACATTAAAGGATGTACACCCCAGAGCAAATAAAAGCCCGGATTTTAGGCTGTAAGAATGAAACAATGTACACGTAGCCAAGGTAACCAACTGCCAACCTTTTTAGGTTTTCAAATAATGATGTATGTAGTTGACTTTGTATAGCCACTCCTCCTCCCTAGCTTCTCAGTGTCAGGGGTGGGAGTGAGGCACAGAAGCAGCACACACCCACTAACTGCCAATCAAAAAATAGCAAGAGGGCACTTCATTTTCTACCTTACTTACAGCAAATAGAGGGGGACCCTGTACACAGAAAACAGTGGATGTTATGGACGTGAAATGAAATCATTGTAAGTGTTTCCCTAGATGCACACAAATGCCCAGCACGGGGCAGTGACAGAGGGGGACAGTCACAGAGGTGCTCAGCTCAGCACGGGGCAGTGACAGAAGGGGGCAGTGACAGAAGGGGGCAGTGACAGAGGTGCTCAGCACGGGGCAGTGACAGAGGTGCTCAGCACGGGGCAGTGACAGAGGTGCTCAGCACGGGGCAGTGACAGAGGTGCTCAGCACGGGGCAGTGACAGAGGTGCTCAGCACGGGGCAGTGACAGAGGTGCTCAGCACGGGGCAGTGACAGAGGGGGACAGTCACAGAGGTGCTCAGCACAGGTCAGTGACAGAGGAGGACAGCCAGTAAGGCGCTCAGCGTGGGACAGTCAAGAGGCACGCAAAGAGGGCAGATAACAGACACTGACTCACATGTCTTCTGGAATCCAGTGCAGCAACAACTTCACCTTTCCAGACTCTTCTTTTCTTTTTGCCATCACCTGGAAGAAAATTCCACATTCAGAACATTACAAGAATTCAGAACAATGTGGCAGTTTATAAAGTTTATATGGAAAAGGAGTATTATGGGGCCGTTGACAAAGACACTGTCATTTTGCCCTGAAGGGCAATCATTAGATGTAGGGGTTATATTAGTTTTTTTTTGCTTTTTCCCCCCTGGTGATCTGGCCAGTAATACACCTCCTGTATTATACAGACACCACTCTGGATGAAAGAGCACAGGGGGCAGATTTGGACAGCAGTACTGTCGGTTTGAGGGGGAGGGGGTGTTAAAAATACTAGCAAAAACATTTCCTTACCTAGTTTTTAATAAATAGAAAACAAAAGTACTATCAGATTTAAGTACAGTAACAAATTTAACCGATTATAAATTATATATTAGCTGGAGTTCAGCTTACAGAAAAGTTTTTTTTTCCTTTTGGTATAAAGGTTTTACATAAAGGGCAATCATTTTAAGCACCCCTGCCAGAGTTAAATGGTCTCATCTCTAACTGCAAGAGAGCTTTTCTGCTGAAAAAAAACAGACTTCCTGGCTGGATCAGCAGATGAAAAATGCAAGCCTAAAAAAGGAAACTAAAAGAGCCATTACATCTAAAAATTGGTAAGCTGCAATATAATAAATGTAAGCTTTTGGCTTTAATACAGCTTTACGATTCACAGTTGTAGACCCGAGATGTGGCACGTTACCTCCACACCACTAAAGTCCAGAAAGAAAATGTGGATTTATTTTTATACTATATTTGCTGAAACAATATACAGCCTAATATCTGAAATGAAAAATATTAAAATCAGACAGTATAAAAGCAGTGGCTGTCAAGTTAATATACACTGGTCAAAAAAATTAAAGGAACACTTTTTAATTTTTAATCAATTAAACTCCTGGGATATTGATCTGGTCAGTTAAATAGCAGAAGGGGTTGGTAATCAGTTTCAGCTGCTTTGATGTTAATGAAATTAACAGGTGCACTAGGTGGGCAACAATGAGATGACCCCCCAAAACAGGAATGGTTTTACAGGTGGAGGCCACTGACATGTTTTCTGACTGTTATTCACTAGTTTTGCATTTGGCTAGGGTCAGTGTCACTACTGGTAGCATGAGGTGATACCTGGACCCTTCAGAGGTTGCTCAGGCAGTCCAACTCCTCCAGGATGGCACATCAGTATGTGCCATTGCCAGAAGGTTTGCCGTGTCCCACAGCACAGTCTCAAGAGCAAGTAGGAGATTCCAGGAGACGGGCAGTTACTCTAGGAGAGCTGGACAAGGCTGTAGAAGGTCCTTAAGCCAGCAGCAGGTCCTCTAGTTGGCCCTGTGCTCATTGCCCGGCACCATAGAGCTTGATTGGCATTTGCCATTGAACACCAGAATTGGCAGGTCCACCACTGGCACCCTGTGCTTTTTCACAGATGAGAGCAGGTTCACCCTGAGCACACGTGACAGACGTGAAAGGGTCTGGAGAAGCCAAAGAGAACATTATGATGCCTGTAACATTGTTCAGCATGACCGTTTTGGTGGTTGGTCAGTGATGGTCTGGGGAGGCATATCCATGGAGGGACACACAGACCTCTACAGGCTAGACAATGGCACCTTGACTGCAATTGAGTATCGGGATAAAATCCTTAGACCCATTGTCAGGTCCTGGGTTCCTCCTGGTGCACAACAATGTCTGTGCCTCATGTGGCGAGAGTATGTAGGCAGTTCCTAGAGGATGAAGGAATTGATACCATTGAATGGCCTCCACGCTCACCTGACCTAAATCCAATAGATCACCTCTGGGATATCATGTTTCAGTCCATCCAATGCCGCCACGTTGCACCTCAGACTGTTCAGGAGCTCAGTGATGCCCTGGTCCAGATCTGGGAGGACAGGACCCGAGGACACCATCTGTCTCATTAGGAGCATGCCCCAATGTTGTCAGGCATGCATACAAGCACGTGGGGGCCATACAAACTACTGAATACCATTATGAGTTGCTGAAATGAAATTTCAGCAAAATGGACTAGCCTGCTGTGTCATTTTTTCACTTTGATTTTCGGGGTATCTTTGAATTCAGTCCTCTGTAGATTGAGAATTTTCATTTCCATCAAACGATGGGGCTTCCTTACATTCCTAACACATTACCCAGTCCATATCAGTATAGATATCCAGCATGATATTTTTCCCCATTGAGATCTGATGTATTTTCAAAGTATTCCTTTAATATTTTTTGAGCAGTGTATTTATGGGCCTTAACTGCATTCCCAGATGTTAAAAGGTTGCACAAAATTTTCAGTATATGTAATGCTACAGAGAAGGTATTAGTCAGAAACTACATACATGCTACAGGTATGGTTGGGGACATGCTGTAGAAGACAGCCCAGACATGGGACTGCTAAAGCTCATTGCTATAAACACTCCCAGTGGCGACTGCTTGGGTCCAAGGTCTGCATGGCAAACACCAAATGGCTGCAGGTTGTGCACCAGGGATTTAAGGGTAGCACACAGTCTAACATTTTAGAAGATTTGAGCACAGAGGGGCAGATCTTTTACTGCCATCTGCCTTTGTATTGTCACCAAGGCATTAATTCCAGGATGTGGAACAAGGAATTGTTTCAAGCTTTCGTGAGAGAGACTCACCATTTAATCATCACTGCCCACAGAAACCAAGCAGATGTACAGCAATTTTTAAAATTTGGTTTGTGGCAATTAAATTGGTTGGAACCTTGAAATGCTGTTTTCACAAATGTAGGTTAGGACTTTTATTCCAAATCAGACAACAGTGAAATACAAAAATACTTCTAAATACAGTGCTTTTGTCCCAGGTCACGTGACTGCATCACTCTCTTTGATGTGAACAGCACGGGTGACGAGTGGGACCACTTTGCACAGTGAATCACAATGACAGGAGCTGCTGCTGTAAAAGCGCTCTTACCACCCCATCAAGCTCCTAGCTGCCTATGACACCAGCAGCACCACCTGATGCCCTGGGGCAGGTATGAGTGTATAGCGAACACTAGCTCCTCCTGCCACTGTAACTTATGGCAGGACAGACTGTCCCCCCCACAACTAAGGTCATTTTGAACAGAAAGCATTGGTTTTTTTTATGATTTGGAGCATACACACCAAGCAGTGGCAATGCTTCAGAGGGCAGGTAAGCCCTCACATTGCTGCCACCATCAACAAGCAAGAGGGAGTCACTGGCAGGTTCAACAGATATTTTCATAACCAATTCAATGTATGCAAAAAAGAAGAAAAGTTACACAACATGATACAAAGTTCTTGCAGAGACTATACTTTTTTTTTTTTTTTTTTTTAATCGGGTTTACAACTCTGCTTTAACAACCTTGCCCAGATTTGGGATCTTGCATTCTTCTGCTTGAAGTCCACACCAAACATGGGTCAGCATATTCTCATTTGTTTCAGTGTGGATGACAGTTCTAAGGCTGCATTTGACCTGCTGTGCTTATATGATGCAGCCAGTCCTAGATGTAGCAAAGTTCAGTGTTTTTCTGTTTAAAATCTGTGTTTGAGAGTCATTGTGTTCAAATACAAAAGGTAGCGCTCAATGACAACATCCATTTACACAAGCTGAACAGCAAGTGGTGACAGTATTGTACACCTACCAAAGCAGAACAGCACTGCCTGTCCCACTCACCGTGCTGTGAAAGACCACGCTGTTCCCTTTTCCTAACGATTCGATCTGGGCTGATAGGTTGAAGCAAATGGCACGATGGCGAATGGCGTCCAGCGTCTGAGCATCGAAGAAGTCATGTGGTCTGGCTGCAAAGTGAAAACACAAGTCAGATTCTGCTAACAAAAGGAGAACAGTAGACTGGGCGCTGCAGGAAAATGAGAGATGATTAATACCTCTTTCTCTAGAAGATGGCTGCGATCTCAGGCAGGAAGCAGCTCTTCCTATGAAGACCGTATTTAAAAATCAAATAATGCACACTTGATTGATGTTCTAGAAATCTGCAATCTACAGCTGACATTTTGAATTTGGTACTCTATTTAGCAAAAAACAGCACAAAGCATTCAGTCGTCCCCTCCCCTGCCAAGATTTTTACATCATAACCTACAAGACCTTAAACATCTCTGGTGATGGGCTTTACAGCCAGTTGTGAAGGAGATTCATCTAAAAGGTGTTAAATAACACAATTCTCCTTTGTTTGACCCCCCCCCCCCCAACATACAAAGGGAGAACATACATCCTTCCTATCATGATCTAAAAACAAACATTCAAGTAATTTCCAAGTCCTGCAATTTCAGATAAAACAAGATCAATCAAAGTTTAGTTGCTGATATTTACTAAAACACAAATCAGTTTTAAGATGAAACCTGTGTCAGAAATGTAAGTATTGACAAGTTGCTTTCTGCTGGCCTCTTTACATGTATGGCTATATAAAACACCTTAAAGAAGGACCTATGCGGTTTGAAATCCAGTAGTTCACTCTCTCATTCTTTTCTGCACAGCCTCAGTTGTTTTCTATTCTTGGCACTTTGCCGAGAATCAGAGCGGTGAGGCAAGCACTAGAGGGCAATCTGCTGACAGCATAAAGTATCCTACTGCTGAGGGATTGGAGAAAACCACATGGAAAAAAAAAAGCCGTCTGTGCTGGGGTAGGATAGATTAGGGAGAGAGAAGAGAAGGAGAGAGGACAGGACAAACTCTGTTGTTGGAGATACACAAAAGCAAAACATTAAAACTTCCAAAGCGTGTCGGAATCATCATGATTTTGTTCTCTCTTGGCAGCACTGTGAATCCAAGCACTCTGCAGCTCCTGCACCTCCTCCTCTTACTGAGCTAAGACATATAGTCAAGGCTGGAAAAACACACAGAACCAACGGCACATAGAATTGCAGAATGTGACAATTTTCGGGACTAAGAGGCGAGAGATCTTAAATAGAAAATTGACTGCTCTGGGCTCCAACAAAATGGCAGCCTTGAGCAAAAAGAAAATGAAAATGCTGGAGAAAATGTACAGCACACACCAAGGGCTCATGTACACTGCAGCTGCTAAACGGACATTCAGAAGCAGTTTAGTGTTTTTTTTCAGCAGCCCCTGAACTCTCCTTTATGGTTTCCTATGTGTCCATGTACACATAGTCGTTTACAGGCCAAAAATGCGTTCAGGAGTAGATTTTACCGGAGTTTCAAACACCAAACGCTTGTAAACTAGGTTAACCGTGTTTACAAGCCTTTGCGTTTAGACGCGTTTTTTGACAGGTCCATATCTAATTGCTGTCCAGAGCCTTTTTTCTGCACAAAAATGCAAGCAAAGCGTTTTCCATGTATTCAAATGGACCCAGTACACCAGCGCAGTCAGTTTCAGATTTTTCGCGAAGGAAAAAATGGTAGAACGTGCCGCATTATGCTCATGATGGGATCCATAGTCAATACAACCAGAAAAGACAGGTCATCTCCACACATACTGCTCTCTCTGCTTCTGCTCTCTCTATTTCTCTCAAAATGTTTGAAATAGTTAATTTACTGTTTTTCAGTGCATTCTGGGCATTTGGGAGGGTCTCCTGAGGTTATCTTTTAAAAACGCTTCTAAACGCAAACGCGCATAAACACGGTATGCAAAACGCGGCTAAACTGGCGTTTTTTTAACCTACGTTTTCTAGCAGTCAGTTTACAGCGGTCGGAAGAGTTTTTCAAAAGCCCCATGTACATGAGCCCTAAGTTTGGTAGCATAATTATTCACAAAGAATTTATGTTCTTTACTAAAAAACATTAATTGTTATAAAAGTTATGAGTAAAGTTCCACTTTAACTGCCAGGTCTGTACATCATACGGACCCAACAGCGAGGGTTTTACACACACTCCCTGTAGCTGCAGCCCTTGGGATTGTGTATAAATCTAATGAGCTTGACTTCTGGCTGTCAGCCAAAAGCAGTGCGGCATCGCCAGAGGCTCCAGATTTCTTTCATACCCCAGGTAATGGATGCCCTCCCCCATCCCCACACACGTGCGTCCCCGTAATGTATCCCGGGCTCCGCTTGCCCATCTGCGGACCAGGACTGGCCTAGCAGATGCCACCAGGTAGAAGGGAGGGAGCAGAGTGGATACATGTCCGCTCTCCTGCCTTGCTTGTTGCTGACCCGGGAGAGACATGTAAAAACATCACTTTCAGGCCCCACGGTTGGTTTCCCTAGTCACCAAAATTCATCACATCCCCCTATGTGATGGAGAAAAAAAAAAAAAAAAGTTTTTTTCTTTTTATTTAAAAAAAATTAAAGTTCCACCCAAGCATATAAAATCATCTCCCCCCCCCGTAAAAAATTTTTGGGCCTCCCCTACCCCCATATACAATTGTACATAGGTGTGCCCAAGCATGAAAACGTTGGTTACAATAAACGTTATATATCGTCGCCGGAGAGCAATATTTTTAGTACCAGATGTCCTCCCTAACGTTAAACGGATTTCCTATAGGGGCTTTTAAAGTGTTGCCTATGGAAAGTATAGGGTACTGAAGTTTGTCGCCATTTCACAGTCGCACGCAAATTAAAGGTTTGACATGCTGGGTATCTATTTACAACGCAACGTCAACTTATATATTTAAGAATAAAAATTGGGGGGTTATTTATTGCATTTGTGTGCCCTAAAATTAGTGTATTTTTTTATGAAATTTTGCATTCCCTACAACTTTACGGTACGATCATGTGACTTAAAAAATGGGCACTACCACTATTTTGTGCTCTAGGTGTCTGCTTTCAGAACATATTAAATGTTTTGGGGGTATATACAATCTTCAGGCCTAAAAATGTTTTTCGCTGCAAAAATAGCTCTGGCAGCAAAAGGGTTAAGTGGTGCAGTGTATTTGGAGAGTTGGGCTGCATCCGACTGCTACAAGATGCTGAATATCATCTCTTTATGTACCTAAAAAAATAAGCCATCAGCAATCTGCTGTTGATCAACTACAGGCATAATCGACTAATGGCTCACTTTATGTAACAATCACCTTGTATCTACTGTATGGTGTATACTCAACATTGATGCCTGCTGCACATAAAAAGTGCACTGTGGCTTAGTCTGACATAAACCAGCAAGATGGAAGAAAATACAGGGTAGAGGGATATGACAGTCCCTCTGTGTTCGGTGATGAAGGGAACTCACAGTTTGTAGAGATGTGATCTGGTCCCATCTGTCCAGGAGATTTCAGCACATTCATCGATTAGATAGATTAGGACTAATGGATTGATCAAGCACACTGGGACTGCAACATTTGTGTTTTATTACCAACCAGAACCCAATGGGGCTAACCTATAGATCCACAATTTGTATTACACAGTTATATGGACCAGTTTGGGCACAAAAAGGTGGTGCCAACGGAGGTGGTAACTGTCAGCCTGCGTGGATGAAACCCGACCCAGGCCATTAGGGAGAATGCAGGGGCCACCCAGACAACTACCCAAAGACACCCCCCTTTCTCCCCATCAGAAAACATGTAGTGACCTGCAAAAATATTCTGTACGCAACCCTGACCACGCTGTACAGAAGGCTGACAGACCTAAGCTGACAAGTTATAGATTACATATGAATCAGCTGCAAATGAAAGTCAAATGTACACATTTGATCTTAAACACCAACACACCCAGAAAAGGGTGAAGCTACAGTGTGATAAACAAGATTTGTGAGAGAAATGACAAAATTGTTGATTTTCTTCAAAATGTAAAAAGCATCTAAGGAAATATAAAATAACATTTTTTATATTTACAATTGCACGTTATACAGTCATCCCAACAGTAAAGGAAAAATGAAGGCTTGAAGCAAAACAGAAGCGTATATATAACCTTGTGATAGAGAATTGCTTCCCTTGTCTTAAATATGATGAACTCTTCCCATAATTATTACAAGCATGAGGGTGAATTCACACTGCAATGCAGAGCGGCAGGAGCGATTCGCCGCTCCAGCTGAGCATAGGGGTCAGTGTGGTGCGTGATTCAGCGCGGTGCGTGATTCCGCGCTTTACAACGCTGATTTGTTTTTTCATTGAAGGTTTATGTGAAGTGTACAAAACATACACTTCATTCACTGCAATGCAGCACAGCACACTGCCCAACCTTGCAGTTCGATCCAGCCCTATAAAATCAGCACGTCTGCATTTTAGTGCAGCCCTAGGCTGAATTGCAGTGTGAATGGGACACATAGGAAACAATAGTTTCCTGTGTGTTCCTTTGGTGACAATTTATCATGTAGTAAAACATTTGTCACCGCATAAAGTGTGAATTGGCCCCGAGTGCAAAAAGTGTCGACTTAACAAGATTCACCTACTATTACCCAATGACCTGACGCTAGTGTGTACTGCGACTGCACGCTGGTATCTTTGTAACCAAGGCATGATAACAGGATAAAAAGAACATATTTCCATTGCTTGGAACGCTCATTGCAGGGATTTCATGTCCCTGAACAGACAATAACGTCATCTGTTTCCCTCCACTACAGAACCTGGACTTTTATACACAGGATCATAGAGCAACGTCAGTCTGTGAAGAGTCACTGAATTCTAAAAATATACAACTTCTGCAAAGCTATCAAGGAAAAATTTCCAGAAAGTGATAGTCTAGGATGAGTTGTGTAAGAATATTTAAGGAGGTATTACCATCACCTTCTAACAATTTTGAACTGAAGTCCACATACCACACAGTGGTCAACTTACCACACAACCAGGGCAAGCAATGCAGATAAGGGGGTCTAGTTTGGCAGTGTAATTTACCTTTCATCTGTCCTAAAGCTTCAGAATAAGAGATCCCAGGACTATCGATGACGGACCAAAGAATATCTGTAGCTGCTAATATTGGCCACAATACTGCTCCTCATTTGCTCTACAGGGTAGATCTGAAGGACCAAAAAGCATCTGTTGCCATGAACAGTGGTCACATTATTGCTCTAATCTGAGACCAGAAGAACATGAGAGGACCTTAACCTATAACAGTGGTCAGGTCACTGCACCTCCTCCTCTATGGTGGAGTCCAAAAAGACCAGGGGTTCTGTAGCCTCTAACCATGGCCACAATACCGCTTTTCCTCTACTCTATTCTGGAGACCAGAAAGGATCTGTAACCTTCAACAGTGGTCACAATACTGGTCCTCCTCTGCTCTACAGAGGAGACCAGAAGGACAAGAGAAGATCTGCAGCCTTTAACAAATTCTCCTCCTCTGCTCTATAGCATAAACCTCTAACAGTGATCACATTTTTGCTTGTTCTCCGATAGTGGAAACTAAACAGGATTTGTAGCCTTTAACAGTCAGGCTACTACAGCCTTGTCTTCTCTATTTTGTAGACCAGAAGGAAGATCTGTAGGTTCCATCAGTGGCCAAAATACTGCTCCACCTCTGCTGTGTAGAGGGGACTAGAAGGACCAGAGGTGATCTGTAGCCTTTAACAGTGGTCAGAATAGTGCACCTCCTCTGCTCTATAGTGGAGACCAGGACTAAGGAGATCTGTAGCTCCTAACAATAGTCACAGTAGTGCTCTTCCTCTGATCTAAAGTGGAGATCACAAGGACCAGAGGTGATCTATAGCTTTTAATAGCGGTCAGGCCACTATAGGCCTCTCCTCTGCTGTATGTAGGAGAACAGAAGAACCAGAGAAGTTCTTTATCCTCCAACAGTGGTCACGATGCTGCACATACTCTGCGCTATAAAGGAGACCAGAAGGACTGCGGAGGATCTGTAGACTCCTAACAGTTTCCAGGCTACTACACCTCCTCCATCTATAGTAGAGAATAGCTCTATCACCTATGTACAATCTGCACCATCTACTTACGTAGTGAGCGTTTCCGTCTATTCTTCAGTTTCCGTCGCTTATTCAATCCAGCTTTGGAAGGGGAATCCTCTTTGGACTTGTGGCTGGACATTTTTGAAGAGTTCTGCTGACTAAAGTGAGTGGGCACGTGACGGGCAAGACCTCCCTGTGAGGCAAAGCTGGCATTACATCCTCCAACGACGCACTGCAAAGACAAGCAAACTGTCAGACTGAGAACATACCAGCTCAAATCGAGACAAAAGCACTGGCCTCCCATTCTACAAGTCATAAAAATCAAACAAAAAGCCCACAAAAAACCAGCAGCGTTATTTCCCATAATGTTCTGAGCATAAGAAGCCTCCAGCACTATCCTACCTTGAAGGGTTTATCTCCACTGTGTGTTAACATGTGTCGCTGCAGCCAGCTTTGACTAGTGGAAGGCGTGTTGTACACCTTACACCCCTTCCAAAAGCAGACGAACACCTGCAACGTATGCAGAGGAAAAAGAGGTCACAAAACAAAATAGTAATTCACATACCAATTCAAAGAGAGAGGAAGGAAGGAAGGAAACAAAAACAAAAAAACCAAAAACAACAACAACAAAAAAAGGTACAATTTTTCAAATACATGTACATTTTCCGTTTTAACACCTTCAACAACACTGAAAAGGAAAAATATTTGCTGATCTGCCAAAAAGCCAGCATGCTCCTAGTTTCTGGTTGGGCTGACAACAGTGTCTTTCCTGGACGTAAATCTCAAGCAACGTTTTAAGCACTGCCTGATGGACCACAGGGCGCTTGTCATGACTTTCAAGAGCCTGCCCATACACTATGTAGAAAAAGGGAAATGCCTACATGAAAAGGAACTAAGCTCTCAACTGCTGCCTCTGCAGGAACTCTACAAGCCTGGTGATTATGTCACCGGGTAATCAATTCTGTTTGTTACAGAAACAATGTAAAATAACATGGAATGCTGGGGCATGATCTAGAAGCAGAAAGTTAGGTTAGTGGGTACATTTAGGTCATGCCTGGGCATACACTTTAAACAAATATATTTACAATGCCCAGCATATTCTGGGTTAAACCTTTTACAACGCAGTTTAATATTTAAAAAAAATGACATCACAGAGTAAAAAGACTTATCTAATGCAGACATAGAAAACTGGTGATTAGGTGTTCCATAGAGGACCCATAGAACCTTTTTATGGCCCTCATTCATAATACCTGGACTGTTCTACAGAAGACAGTCTACACCTTTGCACTGTTCTGCAATAGAAAATGTTTTCTGACCCTTTGATAATTAGTAAAATATCAGTAGCAAAACGTAAAATTATTTGGTAGGAGATGAGATCCAGTCTCTAGAGTTCTCCTTTGTTTATTTCACTAGAGTTTGACCAGTTTGGTGTATTGCCTGTAAATATCCTCTGCTCATAGTATACTAGCGACAGTATCTGTCCCTGGCATGGAAGGTGTCTCACAGCTCAGACAACACTGCAGTCAATTTTACAAGTAAAAATATAGAAATAAAAATATATACAAATAAAAATACATTGAGAACTATTTTACTGAAAGAGTTCTCTATGGCCTCCTGCTGGCTTTGTACGACTTTTTACATGCAGTTACAGCAGAAAGTTTATGTGTTACTAAAAGGTGGTTTAAAGTGGTTGTAAACCCTCACATATACCCACCAAAGTGACTAGCCTCAGGTGATACACAGAGATGAAACAAATCCTCCCACATAAGTTGTACCTGTTTATCTTTCCCCTACATCCATTCAAAGTACAGAATTTATACAGGATCTCTCAGCTCTGAAAAGCATGGAGTGGGGAGCTAAAATTACATCAGTGTGGAGAGCTGTGACAGCTGATTGGAGGGAAGGGACAGACCTTCACACAGCACACAGGAACAGAGCTGAGGCTGTTGATCACAGGCTGTGACCTCCCATCACCATTTTCCTCTTGGCATCAGGAAAACTGGTCAGACGTAGCTCATGCGTATAGCAAAGGAAGGAGTCAGCAGACAAATTATACTTAGTGTTCTGGATTGAGACAAGCACATACTATAGAGGGATATACTTGGTTCATATTTCATGTCTGAGGTTTACAACCACTTTACAGCTCAACTTTAACTAGAGACGGTTTGTAGCTTGGAAGCAGTGGGGAAGGTTAGAACGCAGGACTCTGAACCCTTCCCCACCAAAGCAAAAAGCTTTAGCTGAAGTTGTGCTTTAATTCTCCCGATCTGCCAAGAACTAGCATCAGTTGAGGGCAAAAGAACCCTAATAAAGCTGGACTAATCAATAAAGAAGGATTACCCCTCCACGCTGGCCATCAACATGAATAGAACGGATGTGCTCTGCGAGGTCAGGGCTGGAGGAGAAGCAGGTCTGGCATTGGTCCCAGCAGCAGTTGTAGGAAATGCTTTTGCTGGACGAGGTGGACATTCCTAGACCGTTCATCATAGCTGGGGTGGAACGTCCACTGGAGATTGTGCTGTCCACATCCATTAGGGTGCTGCTTATACTAGAAATTCAAACACAAGTCCATTACTACTAGTCACTTTACACCTCTTCCTACTGGAGCTCAAACACCTACAGTCCTTACACAACTGTAAGAGTCCAGAAGCAACCAGACAGCAGCAGGCCCTACACAGTGAGCTATTATAATACCCCTAGAGGAGATGACCGCCAACACTTACCCATTACTAGCCAGCAGAGCTTAGACCCAACACATCATCAGTCAGCAGAGCTTACAACCAACACAGACGGCAGAGCTTAAAATCAACACATTATCATCCAGCAGATCTTAGAACTAACGTAATATCATCCACCAGAGTTCAGAACCAACACATTAGCCAGAAGAGCTTAGCACCAACACTTTACAAGCCAGCAAAGCTTAGAACCAAGACATTACTAGCCAGCAGAGTCTATAACCAAAACATTACTAGCCAGCAGAGTCTATATCCAAGACATTACTAGCCAGCAGAGTCTATATCCAAGACATTACTAGCCAGCAGAGTCTATATCCAAGACATAACTAGCCAGCAGAGTCTATATCCAAGACATAACTAGCCAGCAGAGTCTATATCCAAGACATAACTAGCCAGCAGAGTCTATAACCAAGACATTACTAGCCAGCAGAGTCTATATCCAAGACATTACTAGCCAGCAGAGTCTATATCCAAGACATTACTAGCCAGCAGAGTCTATAACCAAGACATACATTACTAGCCAGCAGAGTCTATAACCAAGACATTACTAGCCAGCAGAGTCTATAACCAAGACATTACTAGCCAGCAGAGTCTATATCCAAGACATTACTAGCCAGCAGAGTCTATATCCAAGACATTACTAGCCAGCAGAGTCTATATCCAAGACATTACTAGCCAGCAGAGTCTATAACCAAGACATTACTAGCCAGCAGAGTGTATAACCAAGACATTACTAGCCAGCAGAGTCTATATCCAAGACATTACTAGCCAGCAGAGTCTATAACCAAGACATTACTAGCCAGTAGAGTCTATATCCAAGACATTACTAGCCAGCAGAGTCTATAACCAAGACATTACTAGCCAGCGTCTGTAGCGGAGCCTTTTTTTTTTTCTTCAGAGCGGCAGAGGACATCGTGATTGACGTTGGATTTACTTCGGGGGACATTCTTTTACTAAAGGACTTGTTAAAGAATGACTCCTGTCTTTTTTCACACTACAGCTGTTTTTTTGTGAAAGGGTAGTGGTAGCACGTAGCCCATACTCATTCACATGTATGTGGGGGTGGGACGGGATCATCTGGGGGATTACATATTCCGATAAGCTTCCCGCCCGCAGACCCCCACAACCACAGCCCAGGGTTGTGGGGAAGAGGCCCTTGTCCCCATCAACATGGGGACAAGGTACTTTCCTGACCTGTCGGGCTGCATGCTCGGATAAGGGTCTCGTATGGATTTTGGGGGAACCCCACGCCATTTTAATTTTTTTTTAATTTTGGCGTGGGGCTTCCCCTCAAAATCCATAACAGACCCAAAGGGCTTGGTATGGATGGGAGGGGGGGACCCCATGCCATTTTTTTAATATTTTTTAATTGCCGGCAATTCTTTCTTTTACATGCAGCTGTCAGTGGGAATCCCGCTGACAGCTGAAACATGATGCATGCTTTTCACTACTAAAATTCTGCATGACTTGATAAAATAACTCCTGTGGTATTTTAGTAGCCTTTTTTAGTGAATTTACTATTTTTCTGTGCATTCAGGAAGGTCTCTTAAGGTTATCTTTTAAAAACGCTTCTAAACGCAAAACGTGCATAAACGCGGCTAAATGTGTTATGCAAACACGGCTAAACTGATGTTTTTTTAACCTACGTTTTCCAGCAGTCAGTTTCCATTGTTCAGAAGAGTTTTCCCAAATGCACTGTGTACATGAACCCTTAAAAAGGTGAACTTAGAGAACAGTACAGGCAAGTGTACACACATTCACACACAATCAGCCTCTCACAAACACAACTGGCCTCAAACTTCACCAACAAAAAGGCTGCCATTCAGGAAGAACAGCCAATGATCACATAGGGGGCAATCATGTGATCTGAGGAAGCCTTGGTTTTCTGGTACAAGGCAAAAACAGAACAGAGGTTAGTATTAGTCATGTGAGACTAACTACTACTAGTTATACCATGGTCCCGTATGGAGACATTGGATTGGGAGGTTTTATCTCCATATGTCTTAAGTATATTACCCCCAGGGGCAGCTTGTTGAGGTCAGTGGTGGTATGACCAATATAGTGCACATACGTACAGTATAAAGGTACTTACCCACACCACCATTGCTACTTATGAGACATAATTTGTTTACCTGCCTTTACCATTCTACCCCGCTTGTGTTTACCTAATCAAGCCATTATAGCCATTGACAATGAACGGCTGACCCAAATTGTGGAGACTACTGTTGTCCAGCACAACCCAGGTGCCTCCTGACCCTGTAACATGGAAAGAGAGAGATGCTGGTTCCTTCACTCTCCAAGTCAATTGGGAAGGCACACATCCCTCCACATCTGCCATATTACCGCTGATGCTGTGTGTATTACCAAACTACCACTCCCATCTGCATTTAGGAGCAGAGCTAGGAAGGGCTGTGCCAATCCCACCCATCATTCTACTATATCAGAGGAGAAACATGACAACTCACATCAGATACATGCTGTAGTGCTGCTTGTGGCAATAGTGGTGGCCATATTATACCATTCCTGCAGTTTTCTAAGGGCCCATTCACAGCTATACCTTGCCGTAATGCATGTTTTATTGTGTGTGATCACAAGACATAGCAAGGGAGAGTATTGTGGTGCCATTCCTTTTGACACTGACAGTAGTGAGTGATGCATGCACATCACTGTGTCACAACGCACAACCCATGTGCAGTGGTAATCTGTGGTGGCAGTCCTTTCAAAAGGAATCCAACTCATGATAATGTGCAAAACAATGTGTGTTCATTCATGAGAAACAGTGCTAAAGTGTAAATGGGCTCTTTTACATATTAAACTGCTATTCAAAGTGTTTTTGTTGGGTGGAAAGCATGGGGAGGGGGAGAAACAGGCTGGCTTTCTGCTGACATGTTAACAGACAGGAATCTAGGTGAAATCTTTTATATGGGGACTCAGCCAATAATAACCCAAGCGAGACTTTAGCCCTTTCTCCCCGGAGCCCAGTCACATCTGTTCAGTCTTCTCCTTATGGGAAGTACAGTGCTGCTGGAGAGCTTTGCACCAACTGAGCTGTCCCAAGGAGGAAATTCTCAACTGAGCCTTGAACAAGTCCGTAGAATATAGTGGAATTACCATACCAAAAGCCTTGGCACCGGTCACCTGACCACACAACAGGCTTCTGTAGGATGCTCAGCTTCATTGGAATCATTTTTTAGCCTTTGGAAAAGCAATTTTTATTCGTAGCAATTATTCTGAAGAACTAATGACAATAGGTCAACAGTAAGATTTCAGCAACTCCCAGGAATAACACCAGAGGGATTAGGCCTGGCAGGAGAAGTGATTTATACCAAAAAGCCCCCATTCACATGAGCGTATTGCAGCGTACTCTCGTATAATTGCTGGATTTTCTCATGCAGATAGTCCCATTTGTAACAATTGTGCGGAATAGAGACATGGAAGCTGTACGTGGCAGCCAACTTGTCAAGATCTCAAAAGCAGTGTTCCTACCCCTCCCCCCCACCTTGCAAACTATGGAATTCGTAGCTGTAACTTTTAACAAACTTCAAAAGAACCTCTTATCTTAATTAAAACACAAATAGATCCAGTGTCCAGGCTTTGGCCAGGGCTGTAAACAGCCAATTGGTCTTGGCAGGATGTCCGTTTCCACAAACTATGGAAAACACTTTACCCTGCCCTATCGTAAAACAATAATAACCCAGTCAAGCAGTCACACATCACCTGTAAGGCCACTAAGGCTCCAGGAATGCAGAGCGTACCATAAAATGTCTATTCAACAACTTAACAATTTTACATACAATTCATAGAATTCAACAGGAACAGGACACATTAATATTTGAATAGAGAATATCATACCGAACAAATCAAGGTCATACATGAATATGTTAGCACATACGAAAGGTGAGAAAGCAGTCTTCTCCCTCCTGAATGACAAAGGTACGCTGTGTTTGGTATCCCTGGGTTCTAAATATAATTCTGAATAATATTCTGCCATTTTCTAGAATACAACCTGCATGTATTGGAAGTTATTAATATAAAACTGTATTTGGGAATTGTTCGTAAACATGGTGGCTTTCCCAGCACCCATCCCTTAAACCGGATTATTGGTCAGCTGGTCTCTGGCGACACCCCTTTGAGATCATAGAAAAAGGGACTGACCGGAAATTGACATTAAATTTTCATCACATGTCGGTAACCACCCATGCAATCCATACATACAAAGTAACCAAAACAAATAAGTTCAGAAATGAAGTTATGTGTAATACATTGGAATAGCACAGGGAATAAGTATTGAACACATGAAGAAAGAGTGGTGCAAAAGGACATGGAAAGCCAAGACACCAGCTGAAATCTATCAGTAATTAGAAAGCAATCCTGCCCCTTGTCAGTGCAAATTAATATCAGCTGGTTCAGTCTCAACTAAGGCCTATAAAAAGGTGTCTCATTACCAAGGTGTCACACAAGAAACATCTCATGATGTGTAAAAACAAAGAGCTCTCTCAAGACCTTCACAACCTTATTATTGCAAAACATACTGATGGCATTGGTTACTGAAGGATTTCTAAACTCCTGAATGTTCCAGTGAGCACTGTTGGGGCCATAATCCGGAAGTGGAAAGAACATCATTTCACCATAAACCGGCCATGACCAGGTGCTCCTCGCAAGATTTCTGACAGGAGTGAAAAGAATTATCAGAAGAGTTTGAACTCTTTGGATGCCATAAAACACACCATGTTTGGAGGAAAAATGGCATCACACATCACCCCAAAAACACCATACCAACAGTGAAGTTTGGAGGTGGGAACATCATGGTGTG